ACGACAATGGACTCAATCCACAACAAGTCGAGAATGCGAACAAATTCCAAATGTCGGTATCAACTTACCAAATCGGCTGCATCATAAATGACTGCCTACGTATCCTCTTGCCTAAGGAATCAATCCTTCACGTAGTTCACCAAATGGCCTTCAAAGACCCTCAATCCAATAGAAGAGTTCTCAACTCTTCACCAACAAATCTGCAGCTGATAGCCCTCCCAATGGCCCCAAAGTGAAACAAACCAAACACCTCCACCTGAGGTGAATCAACGGCCACATCCAAATCCAAATTATGTCCACCAGCTGCACTCGAATCAACCAACTCATCATCTGCATCCAAATCCAAATGATCCCCAAACTGTGTCACCTCAGCTGGAATCTCAAACGATGCAATATGATCTGGAGTATGTGGAGTAATCTCCACCCAATGTGGAGTAGCATCATCCTCCACCGCTACGCTATCCCAATGATCTGATCAACACTCTCCACCTGTCGAGAGTCAAATATGACAAGTTCTATGTAACCATTATATATGACTATTCTAGATATACAATAGAATATCTATTGAAATCTAAAGATGATGCCTTTGAAATGTTTTTGAAATAATCTGTAGTTCAAAATCAACTAAATAAGAAAATCAAAATAGTAAGATCAGATAGAGGTGGTGAATATGAACTTAATCTAATAGGGTAGTTGAGATCAAAAGCCTAACTTGATCTTAACAAGGAGAAGTGTTGGTTGTCTCTGGTTATTATGTTGTCATGCTGACTTGTTTTTTCCTATCAAAATGTACTTATGAGATCATAAGCAAGGGCCGATCCAGAAACTTTGGCCATTGGGGGCAAAACTGTAAGTTAGCTAAGATATGATATTTTTACCAAAAATATTAGTGGCACCATTACTAACTATGAGTGTCTATTTCACAAAAAAATCTGGAGGCCTAGGCGATCAATAGCGAAAATAATGCTAGCAAAAATTGATATATGGGTTTAATTTTAAACTAGTATATCCGCATGTGCAAATGCATGTGCAAGTAACAGCAAGTTCTTATCTAGATAATTCTCCGCCATTCATCTTAATTATATTATTTATGATTTAATGTGTATACATGGAATTTCTACTAAAAATGCATGTGCATAGTGTAAATGTTTAAAATAATAAAATAAGTATAAATATATACACTTTAACCATGATTTCCATATAAAAATAAATGTAATATAATATTTTTAATAAATGACTGAAAAACCTATTTAGAAAATCGTGTATGTAATTAGAATAAACATATTATTATAGACTTTTACATATAAGTTAATCTAATTTAAATGGATTTTAGAAAAGAAGTGATGTAATTATTCATTAAATTAGTAGGATGCTAAACAACCAATTTGTCAAAAAAAAATAAAATAAAAAGAAATAAGATATTATGGTAAGGTTTACAAAGTTGTGCTCTCTTCTGGAGTTGGAGCAAAATTAATGATTGAGGTGATATTTACACACTTATCTAGAAATTTACAAATAACATAAGAATACATGAGTGGATTGAGTATACAGGTGAAAACTGTGTGTGTGTTTAACAAGTATGTTTAAAATTACACCCATTTAACAAATTAAGTACACTCTATCTTGTATCTAAACTATTTATAAAAAAGGATTGGGTGTTAAAACTTTTGATTGTCTATTTTACTCTTATAAAATTTGATAATTTCTAATAATGCCTCAAAATTTATTCAATTCATGCTATTTATTATACTATAATTATTCTTGCAATAAAATGGAGAACTAATATTAAAAACTAAATAGATATTATATATTTTAATCATATTCCTTAAAATTTATTCGATTCATACTATTTATTATACTATAATTTTTTCTTGCACTAAACATAAGAACTAATATATATTATAAACTTTAACCATATTAGTCTTATGTTAAATAAGATAAATATTTTAATTTAGGTATTATATATTATACAACAAATATATAGTTTTAATATATAAGATAATAGTATCATGACTTATATTTATAATTAATATCATGATTTAAGATAATTTAGTATTTAATTAAAAATCTAACATCTAATCTAATACTATGATATATTGATATGTGCATCTGGTGTATAAAAAATCCATGAAGAGGAATAGTAATATAAATGTTAACCTCTTGACGTAGTCTAGAAATAGCATATAAATTATCATAATATATATCACTAAGTATTGCAATTACTTATCATAGTATTTGGATACGAGATAATTTTTTGCATGCGGAATTCGAAGCGGTGTGGGAAGCTATTACATTTGCTCTTGATATTGGATGTGAAAATGTAATTTTTGAAGTAAATGTGGAGGCAGTAATTAGAGATATCCATAATGGGGTGGAGCAACACTCGATTTTTGAACACTTCGTAGATGATATTCAGCGATGTTGTACATATCATTAGATTGGTAGATATTTTTCTAAGTTGCATTCAGAATTGGAGTACTGCAACAAATGGTTGAAATTGATCTACTCAATGAAAAAAAAACTCTCCAACTTAAGAAAATAAATTATAATAGCATATAAATGTTAACCTCTTAGTGTAGTCTAATATAAATTATAACTGGAATACTAATATAAATGTTAACATCTTGGTGTAGTCTAGAAATAGCATATAAATTATCATAATATATATCACTAAGTATTGCAATATACTTATCATAGTATTTGTATACGAAATAATTCTGAGCATGCGAAATTCCAAACGGTGTGGGAAGCTATTACATTTTCTCTTAATGCTGGATGTGGGAAGGTAATTTTTGAAGAAGATGTGGAGCCGGTAATTAGAGATATCTATAATGGGGTGTAGTAGCACTAGATTTTTGCACACTTTATGGACGATATTCAATGATATTGCCCATGACTCAAGGAATGAGATTTTTAGGTAGTTCCTCAAATGGATAATATAACAACTCACGTGTTGGTCCAAAGAGCTAAGAAAATTAATGATTTTGCGATATGGTTGAAAGACCCACCATCATTTTTACACAATATTTTAAGTCTGATAAGAAGCAGTGTTAGTCCACATTCTTTTAGTGTGCTTCTGGGTTGTCATTTTAGTTTAGATGTGTCATAATATTTTTTTCGCGAAAAAACTGTTGCAATATAGTAATTAAATCCTACCTAACAAAGTAATTTATAACATTTTTCCTTCTGGACCTACCAATAATTCATTTAATATGAATATTAGTGAGAAAGGGAACTCATAATTAAAGCATCGTATAACTTCTCTTACTAACTAATCAAATTCTCTTTATTAATTATGCACTAATTATTTCCCGACTAATCTACTTGCATAAACATTCCTCTTTGATCTCAGGAGTTGCATAAAGTTATGCTATATATGGATGCTCAAATGCATAAAAAAACACTAAAAGAATAAAAAGAAAAAAATGGAGGAAGTGAGAATTTTGGCGGTGGAGTCATTCCCTCGATTGTAGTAACCAAGATACCTCACAGTCAACAAGATTTACAGGAGATAATTGAGAGAGAAGATGATATTGCTTTTCTTTGGAGAAATGAACAAATCTATGACCAATTTCATCTCCAATTTATAAAAAAATATCAATCTGTTAGTTATAAAAGTATGCAAATTTGTGGAGAGAAAAACTAATATAAATGTCAATAAATTCATAGCGAGTGGGTGGCTGGGGGATTTGTTTGAGTCCTCGTTGTTGTTCTAAAAAAATTGTGACGAGTGCACTGTTTGATGGCCTTCGAATATTTAATCTTATATCATTACTTAATATACATTACGTGCAAAGCACATGTTACATACTAGTCTACATAAATTTAAATTTATAAGTGTGATGCCCCAAGTATAAATAGTCCTATGTCGCAAAATGAGTGAAAAATTTAGTGGCTTAAATATGTAAGCATAAGACTCAAATGTAACATCGGCTAACCAATTTTAACAATGGTTTGAGCCAAACAACACGCTATACTAGGTGGGTCTCACGGCTTGCACGCGTCAATGAGCTCGTGGACCCGGGGCGTGACAATAAATGAAAGAGTAGAGGTGTGATTAAAGGGTAATAGTAGCATAATATAGATACATTTTATGGAGGGTAAGTGTAAATAATTACGATCAGTGTAAATAATTACGGTCAGTGTAAATAGTTGCCCCCACTGCTCCCAGTGTAGATCCGCCCTTGATCATAAGAGACTCATTGCTACCCTTTTTATATTTAATAATTCAAGAAACTGCCCCTACACGTTCATCCAAACCTAATGGGGTAGCTGAGAAGATCATAAGCCTAACTTGATGTTAACAAGGAGAAGAGTTGGCCGTCACTGGTTATTATGCTGATTTGTTTTTCTATCAAAACATACTTAAGAGATGATCGTAGGCTGACTCATTGCTGTCCTTTTTATATTTAATTTAATTAATTTTGTACAAGGCACGTGTTGTTATGATTGATTTTGATAATTAAAGTTGATAAACCACCTTATCCTTCGACTAATTAATAAATGGAGCCAGTTTCATAAAATGGCAGTAAGTCTATTTAGACGTGACATGAACATACTATGATTATACTCTGTGCGGAAGATAAATTGTGGGGGGAAAAACCTTATTGATCAGTGGATCATTCAATTATTTTCAGTAACGGAACGAGATGGTCCAGGAAAGACAACCCCCCCCCCTCCCCCCTCCCCCCCCCCCCTCCCCCCCCCCCCGCCCCCCCCCGCCCCGCCACTTCTAAAATTTCTTTCGAATCATCAAGAAGTAAGCCCGTCGGCCAGTGACGTCAGAACATCGTAAGCCTGGTGCGGCCTCAAGAACCATCACGCTTCTTTTCGGCCGCTCGACTGGGCCTGGGCCTTCTCGATCGCCCGAGGAGTTTGTTAATCAGAAGAAGTTAGACACGTAGCGTACGTATACAGAGGAGGGAAAAGAGCGCAGAAGCTGAGGAAAGGATAAAAGAAGGTGAATCAAAATCATGACGAATTGAGCAAACCAGATCACAGGTTGGCAACAGCTAGAAAATTGATTCAGAGTTTTAAGTTAAGTTTTAACAAAGTAAATGGTGCTGGAATCGAAATTTTTTCTAGAGAGACAATTGGATGACACGCTGATCATAATTTGGCAACAGGCTATAACTTCTACTACCAAACTCGTCCGGTTTCTAGCCGGAACTTGGCTCCTCATACACCAGGCTACTGCTGTCCATCCCTGACTAGAATCCTTTACCTCTTCCTCATATAGCAACTGACAGTAAAATAAAAACTCAAACTCACTGACAAATTAGCAATACTATTGCTCACCCGTCCCAGACCTCAAATGGACACACTATTGGGTATTCCCCTACCCGTTAACCCACCAACCCGCGTATGATCCGACGTATTCGGATACAGCAAAGTATACGGCATTTGAACCGGCCCATTCCTGTTCTTCAAACTCCCATCCTCATTCATCTCCAAAATCCTATTCTCAATCTCAATCAACTCGTCTCCAAACCGTCGAAACGCGTCGATGGCCCTTAAATTAGAAGTCCACTCCGGTGCATCTCGCTGACCGAGGTACAACTCGTCTGACGAATGGCGTGACAATATCTCAATCAGTGACACGCCCAGTATCGTCTGAAACTGACTCGTTATGGTCTTCAGAAAAGCCCGGTCTGGGTCTCTGGCTAGCTCGTCGTAGTCAGATGAACCCGGTTCGGGCATAAAACGTCTGCTGATGGTTGGTCGATTCGGGAGGAAACCAGCGTAGGGATACTGTCCGAAATTGACAGCGGCGTGAAGTGCAGAGGATATCCATATGATCGTAGTACAAGTTTGGACCAAGTCGGAGATGGATTGCATTTTGGGCCACCAGCCCTCGTTCTTTTTGTCGCCATGGCCCACTTCGATTATTTCAGTCCACCAGGCTTGGAGCTCGGTATCGGATTGAACTGTGGCGTGGTCTGAATAGTAAATGGAACAGTATTCAGTCACCCACGTTTCGATTGCGGCCCAGACGGAGAGCCCATCCACGGCGTAGGGGTAGTCTGTGATTAGGAGCCGGAGTTTGTTTGGGCTGCTTGGGTCTTCAACCGCAATGCCCCTGAAAAACACAGTGTAGCAACTCGGTTAGAAAGGTATTGTAACTGAGAGTTATAATGTATTACTGTATCGGCAGACAATTCCCCGAGTTATTAGGTATGAAGTGAAATTTTTTCTTTGAAGAGCCTACTAATCTTTGAAATTAATGGTAAAAAGAGTGTCAATTCATCAAAAATAGTTGATACAAGAAGACTGATTCATGTGTCATTGATCCATGCTGTCAAAATTTAGTCACCGATCAGCTTTATGTTTGGAACCTAAGGTTGTATTTGACCTCCGTCACTAGCAGGATCATCACCAGCCAAGTCCATATCAGATGCTCGGGGAGCTGCACGCGGCTTGCGAGCTAATCTCTTCCGCCTAGCAGCAGGGACAATAATCAAAGGTCTCGCCTGGGGAGGAGGACGGAACTCTTCATCCTGGTCAACTGTGGTCCCTGAAACATCAAACCATAGTCAGTTTCAATATTCCTAGAAGATGTAATGAAAAGATGAATAGCAAACCTCGCTCGGAAAAGTCTTCATAACCTTCAGGATCTCCGCCTGAAGCCTCGTCTGCGGAATGAAAGGTCTTCTTTCCCTCTTCATCAATCCGACGAGTCTTATTCCGTGTCCTCTGTGATCGGGCATTTTCCCAAATCCTACGGGAATCAACCTGAGAAGCTTCCTCGGCCTCTAGCTCTGCAATCGGCTTCACGGGGATGGTCTTGTTGGCTGCTAACAACCACTTGCAGCTTAAGAAAGTAAGGTTCAACTGCCGATCAGCACTCGGGAGACTGAATTTAGCACCAGTACAGCCAGTCACGGTCCACAACCACGCACGGAGACCATCTACCAAACCACCGTGGGCACGAAGCTGCTGACGAGGATTCCCGACGTAAAGCTGATCGTAGCCAAACTGACGAGCGAATCGACAGGGTAGATATGGCTCTATGAAGCACTGATCCCTCACCCGAAAAGTCAAATAACCTGGCCTAATGTTTACCAGCCAGTTAAAGCACCCGATGTCCAAGTGAGTGCGATACTCTCTCGGCCTCTCTTCATCTGTCAAACTATCGCCGTATCGGCCGGAGAACTGCGGAAAGCAAGTGGAAAATGTCCAACACTTGTGGACCTGCAGCTGCTGCCTGACGTCAGAAAATCCGCGCCCCTCCCACTTGCCGTTCTCAAGCAATTGTAGTAAAGGAACAGAATGATCTGTGGCGCTCGGTACCGACATCATATCGGGACGGTGAAGGACAAACCAAGCCATCAAGTAAGTGTACGGGAGCTCTGTCTTAAGGGTGGGAATCTGAGTCGGCGATTCCTTTTCCTTCCGTGTAAAGGCACCAGAAAGCTGTCGAAGCCCTCGGTGAATGTTAGCCACCATCACCGGAAGAAGTGAGAGTTCTTTCTTGTAGGCAAGCTGAACTGCTGGATAGAGTACTTCCAAGGGCAGAGCGTCACAAGACTGATATGAGACCACGCATTTCTTTAACCAAATAGCGAGGAAACCGGCAAGAAGGGTCATGGGTCGAATCGGTGCGGTAGCATGCCACAAGAATGATTTGAACTTGGTCCCTGCAGGAAAACCACCCTCAGAACTGCTAGTGGTATAAGAATGAGCATCAATCTTCTTCATCAGAATGTTCACCCCTGAGGGAGTAAGTGGGGCCAACTCACAAATAGCCTCGCCAGAATTACTCTCCAGATTCTTGAACAAATAATTGGCAAACTGCTTCAGACTCACGAATGTCTTAGTCCTCTTTGCTAAAGGCTCAGACTGCGCCAAAGCTATATGATAGTGACAAGTGAGATCCCATAGAGTCTCGTAGCGATCGGGCATACGATCCTTCAGCAGACTTAATTCATGGTTGGAGGGAAAGTATTCCTGATACAACATCTGTCCCATGGGTAAGCCAGAAATCCTGTGCATCTCGTGAAGAGCCAAGCCCAATTCCCCTTGCCGGGTCAGAAAAGTGTTCGAATCTGAATTATAAAGCTCGAACAAAGCACAGAAATGCCTTGCGCTGACAGGCAAGCCATACATGGTGGCACGAACGGCTGCATATAAACCACAAGCGTGCAACTCCTCGCCCCATCGGCTCAAGACATACGTCGTCATACGGGTCCACCAAAACTTGTCCAAAGAATGGACCCAACCATAAATCCTGTGACGCGTCGCAGGCATCTCCCGTCCTAGAGCAGCGAGGCGATTCCTCAAGGTAGAAGCGGTGGCGAGGAACTCGTTACGTGGTGGTGCATCCAGCCCCAGTACTCCGGGACGCAATCCGGTGATGTGACTTCTGCTCGAGCCAGGAAACGCCTGATGAGTGATGTAGCCGCAATGGACGCTCTCATGCTCCTCCGTCAAGCGCCACGACATCTCCCGTGTCACGGCCTGACGCCTGAGCTCAGTCAATGAACGATGCCGAGGAATCTTCGGCAAGTATATGAAGCCACTGCCAGTTTTATGAAGCCACTGCTCAGCCTCAATAAACACGGCATCCGGGTCTTCGACAGAGTCGCCAAATAAGAAATCACTCTTCCGAAGAGGCTGAATAGAACTGGCGTCCTTCACAAGAGGTGCATCGGTAATCAACTGTCGAAGAGCTCGGTGCCCACCTTCCTTCACCGCCTGAGCGACCTCAGTCGATGTGCCCAAGACGAACTGAGGAGTGACCGGGATAGGGGAAACATCGTCGGAGGTCGAATAATACTCGCCACGACGCCCGTATACTGCGTGAGATGAGAACGCTCCAGAAGGGTATTCAACTGAGAACAAGCAATTAAACGTTTGTTAATTCCAGTTATAAAAGGAAATTGAACTCATCTTACGAAGGGGTAAGATAGAGTCATTGCCTTATAAAGGGTGTGACGTTTTGGCCACGTTGCGCCTTCATAAGATAGGGTATATCGACAATATATCCCTGCCTTATAAGGCACAACGCAGCGACAAAACGCCCCCTTTATTTATTATGAGATAGTGTTTTGACCAAGCAAAACATATCTTTGAAGCGTCGATCCTCACCAAGGAGAATCAAGGCTCTTCCCGATTGCCTCACCAAGGAGAACAACGTGGGGTTAAAAGGACCAATTTGCAAATTTTCAGAAAAAAGAGGGTTAATTTGTAAAATTTCTATCTTCAAAGCGTCGATCCTCACCAAGGAGAATCAAGGCTCTTCCCGATTGCCTCACCAAGGAGAACAACGTGGGGTTAAAAGGACCAATTTGCAAATTTCCAAGAAAAAATGGACCAATTTGTAAATTTCCAGAAAAAGTAGCTCACCAGCGTAAGAGGGAGGCGCGCCATCATTCGGCGCGGTAGAGGATTGACCCCTCGCCATACGGGACATAGAAACCTGCAAGGTAAATTGAAGGATCAGATCTAGAAAAGGAAAAATCCCATTTTTACCCCCAAAAAAGGCAAGTTTGAGGCATCAAATCACACCCTCAACCCTTATATGCGATCCCGCGACTCCATACACTAGATCAAACATGAAATAGATCAAGATTGCGGAGGATTTACCTGAAGAAAAGCCCAAAATCCAATAAAGGCGAGACCTTTAAGGAAACTTGAACCACACGCTCGAGGGGCCTGAGAGAAACTTTTTATTTGGAGATTTTGGGAGATTCCTCAGTCCAAGATTCAAAGGAAAGCCAGATCTAAGACAAATATCAAGGTTTGAAAGAGAATGGATGCTCGAGGGAAGAGAAATCAAGAGAAGAGAGGGAGGGGGTGGCCGGCCCTAGAAAGAGAGGAAGAAAAAGAAAAAGAAAAAAAAAAAGGAACCTCTTTTATAGCCTTGAACCAGATCTGGCTGAACCAGACCAGACCAGACTGAACCAGACCTAGCCAGATTGGACCAGGTTGAGCCAGATTGAGCCAAACTGAGCCAGAATGAGCCAAAT